TAATAGCCCTCACTGCCCAAGTCGTTTCCTGGAAATACACACTCATAGTGCTCTCTGCCATTACCTTAGCTTTGCACCCCCCCCCCCCTCCCACCGCCCAGGGTTATAATGTGTTTCTATGCACTCACTGTATCTGGCATGTCTACGGTAAATGGAACAGCCTAGTCAGACAGGCGCTGTCTGCAATGAGTCGCGTAGTTTGTCTGCTAATCAGACAAGGGTTGTAGGGTTGAGTCTAGGGTTGAGATAGTGTCATCAGACATGAGAATATGGCCCACAGCATGCCTCAGATTGCAAGAAAATGGCTTAAATATTTCAAAATTTTATAGGGGGGTATGCCCCCAGTTCCCCCCCCCCTAGCACTGCCATGTCTACGGCACGAGGGCCTGCCTGCGGCAGCCAAGGTACATTTCCCTTCCCCCCCTGTCCATTAATTTCTGAATACGCGACTAGTTACTGATCACCGCGGGAACATTCCACATTTGGAGTTCACAGGGTTGGAGACCCTGACACTGTCATGATGTGTTGATGAGGTTGCGTTGATGATTTGGTGACGATCGTTGACGATTTCTTACAGGATGTCTTCAGCAATGACGTCATGCGCATCATTGTCACCAGCTCACCGTCCGCAGACCTCAGGAAGCCGTGTAGCACCGTGAAGGCAACCTTCCACAAGATAATGCTCAAAACATTCCCCTGGTACAACGTCAAGGCGTCCCGCTACTGGACAGACAGCAAGAAGGACAGGTGAGGGAGCGCGAGCATGCGATGGCAGCATAGTAGCTCGCTGTATGATAGTACAGTTAGGGTAGATGTGACGTGCGTATTTGTGCGCATATGTGCGTGCGCGTGTGTTGTATGCGTGCGTGCGTGCGCGTGTGTTGTATGCGTGCGTGCGTGCGTGCTCGTGTGTTGTATGCGTGCGTGCGTGCGCGTGTGTTGTATGCGTGCGTGCGTACGTGCGCGTGTGTTGTATGCGTGCGTGCGTGCATTCGTGGGTGCGTTGTGTGCGTGCTTGAGTGCACGTGTTTATTTAAGTGTGAGTATGAGCATCTATATGTGTATATAATATATAGGTGTAAATAAAGTGCACATGTACATTTATAAGTACATGTACATGTACATTTATATGTGCATGTAAATATATACGTATTTGTCTATGTATGTGCGTGTATATGTACATTTATGAGTACATGTACATGTACATTTATATGTATGTGCATGTAAATGTATACATATTTGTCTATGTATGTGTATATGCACATTTATGAGTGCATGTACATGTACACTTTTATGTGCGTGTAAATGTATACATATTTGTCTATGCATGTGCGTGTATATGTACATTTATAAGTACATGTAAATGTATACGTATATGTCTATGCATGTAGATTTATATGTATACTATATGTATGTGCATATATCTATGTATGTACATGTGTATCGAAGTGGTGAATAAAATAAAAAAACGAACGGAAAAATTTATTAAAGTCTTTATTCACTGATGTGTATGTATCGATTTACGCATCGTTTACGCACTCGCGCGCGCGCATGCGCACACGCCGTATGTAACGTAACAGCC